AAATATGAAACGAAAAAAATTCCAAATCTTAATAAATAACAGTTTGTTTAAGTGGAAATATATAAGCCACTGGAAATACAAATTTGAGATCATATGGACGATAACGTTATTTTAATTGTATTATATATGAATCTATAACTTAAGCAATCTGATATTTGTATGATGATGTAGAAAACATTTAAGACTAACCTCAAGAGGAGAGTCTGGTTCATCCAGGATGCTCTTTTCACTCTGTATCCGCTGCATCGTTCCTGTAGAACTGGGGTCCATTATCAGCACGTTCTGACTACCAGCTCTGCCGAACTTACAGTCACTCTTTCTGGAGTCAGTCGTCCTGCACACCTCGTAATTGTACACATGTGGCAGAGTCCCTGTCCCCAAAGTGTCTGAGTAACGTGGTGGATAATATGGAATGACAGGCAGGTTGGAGTGATACAGGATGCGAGACTGTCTCCACCTGTAGATTTTGACTGATATAATAACCACTAAACACGTGATGAAGAGGAAGGAAACTACAGCCAGAGCCAAGACTAAGTAAAAAGTCAGGTTGTCATTGTACTCCTTGTCGTGGGTCAACTCAGTGAACTCCGACAGCACTTCAGGGAAGCTGTCCGCCACCGCCACGTTAACAATGACTGTAGCTGAACGAGAGGGCTGCCCGTTGTCCTCCACTATAACAGTCAGTCTTTGTTTGACAGCATCTTTATCAGTGACTTGGCGGATAGTTCTGATTTCTCCATTCTGTAAGCCCACTTCAAACAGCGCCCTGTCTGTGGCTTTCTGCAGTTTATAGGAGAGCCAGGCATTCTGTCCAGAGTCCACATCAACAGCCACCACTTTAGTCACCAGATAGCCCACATCTGCTGAACGAGGCACCATTTCAGCCACCAGAGAGCCACCAGTCTGGACTGGGTACAGAACCTGAGGGGGGTTGTCGTTCTGGTCCTGGATCATTATTTTCACAGTCACGTTGCTGCTGAGTGGAGGAGAGCCTCCATCCTGCGCTTTTACGCGGAAGTGGAAATCTTTGATCTGCTCGTAGTCAAAAGAGCGCACTGCATGGATGACTCCACTATCAGCACTAACGGACACATATGAGGAGACTGGCACTCCGTTAACGGAGGAGTCCTCCAGTATGTAAGAAACACGGGCATTCTGGTTCCAGTCAGCGTCTGTGGCTTTGACTGTGAATATAGAGAGACCTGGTGTGTTGTTTTCTACAATGTAGGCCTCATATGAGCTCCTCTCAAAGACAGGTGCGTTATCATTAACGTCTGAGATCTGTAAGGTGAGAGTGACGCTGCTGGAGAGGGAGGGCACTCCCTCATCAGAGCAGGTCACAGTGATGTTATACTCAGAGGCTCTCTCTCTGTCTAAATCACTGTCTGTTACTAAGGTATAGAAGTGATTTGTTGATGATTTCAAAATGAAAGGTACACTATCACTAACTGAACATTGAACATTCCCTCTTTCTCCAGTGTCCCTGTCTTCAACGTTTATCATTGTAACAACTGTATTGAGTTTAGCATCCTCCGAAATCACAGTCGACTTAGACATTATGTTGATTTCAGGTTTGTTGTCATTTAAATCCAGAACATCAACAATCAGTTTACAGGAATCTGTTAGTCCTCCAACATCACTAGCACGTAAACTTAACTGAAAACCTCGTGAATCCTCGAAGTCAGTATTCCCAATTAAAGTCACTTCGCCGTTCTCCTTGTTTATGTTAAAGACTTTCCTGACGTCATCCACTTTGTTTGTGATTGAATATGTTATTTTACTGTTCGAACCTTGGTCTGCGTCTGACGCTGTAACAGTAGCAACAACTGTTCCTTTAGGTGAATTCTCAGTGACTGTAGCTTTGTATGTTTGCTGTGTAAAAACCGGCGCATTATCATTAACGTCTAAAACTGTAATGAGAATCTGCATTGTTCCTGACATCTGTGGCTCTCCTCCATCTACAGCTGTTAACACGAGGGATATCTGCTCTTGTTTCTCTCTGTCCAAAGGTTTCTGCAGTACCATCTCAACATTTTTATTGCCATCAGCATTATTATGCATTTTAAGAACGAAATTGTCAGTTGGTTTTATTTCGTACCTTTGAAGATCATTGGTGCCAACATCAAGATCCACAGCCCTTTCCAGAACAAATTTTGCACCAATTACCGCCGACTCACTAATTTTAAATTCAATATCAGCTTCTTCAAAGGTTGGTGCATTATCATTGATATCTGTGATCTGCACTGTAACCGTATAAAATTCCATCGGATTCTCCAAAATGATCTGAAAATGTAGAGCACACGGTGTCGTCCGTTTGCACAGCGCCTCTCTGTCGATCCTTTCTTTAACGAGGAGGACTCCTCTTTCTCTGTTCAGCTCGACGTACTGGTCGCTGTCTCGGGTATAAATTCGAGCTTTACCTGATATTAAACGTTTGATTTGTAAACCCAAATCCTGTGCTATATTACCAACTAACGATCCTTTAGTCATTTCCTCCGGTATTGTATAGCTGACTTGTCCAGTTACCGAGCCAAAGGAAAGGAGAGCAAAACACAACAGCGCAGGCCCTTTCATTGTCCTACCCTAGGATTTTATCAACGATGCTCCACAACGCGAACATGCATCCAGCTGAGTGAAAGGAGTTCCAAAGTCAGACGTCAGTCTTGTAGCTTTACAGTCCTCTGTACATCGAATAGTCTTAAATCGTCGTATTTTTAATCTGAAATTCTGCGGATCGAGAATGCCTGGTCGTTCTCGTAATACCCCGTCCTCGTTATGCGGGCGTATATGGGAGGTACTCAGCTGCTATAACCCTGCTCCCATCCGTCAAAACTCTGGTCAACAGCGGCCCTAAGAGTTCATAACAGAAAACTGCACAACAGCTCCCTAAATTACACTGTTCAAAAGACTTGCTGTTAGCTAAGTGTAACAAGTAAGATTTTAAGTAAATAATACAAGAAATTGAAGCGAGAGAGCGAGAGAGTGAGGGAGAGAGAGAGAAAGAGAAAGACAGAGACAGAGACAGAGAGAGCTGGAGAGAAACAACACAATCCACGTTGTAATCGTCGATTGCACACTACAACACAGTTTACGGTTCAAATGTATTTCTATTTTGTTCTTTTTTTTCTCCTTTATAATCAAAAAATCAGTCAAAGCACCCTGTCAATTACTGCAAGAAGTACATTTTCACAAAAAACTACAACAAGAATAAACGTACGTTAAAATGTATAAGTACCTCACTAAAAATATAATTGGGCATGGGAAGGACAAAAGAAAGTTTAATAATATCGCTGTTCTTGGTGCTGAAATGATGACGTGCCAATCGATGGGAATGATTTATAAAATGATTTACCGTGCATTCGTGAGGAGATAATGAATGTGCAAAATCAGGCAAAACTAATTCTGTTCTTTGGGGAAATCGTACTATCTATTAAGACATTGAAGTGATTGCTTAAAAAAAGTGAGGTGATGATTCAGCCTGTTGTCACGGAAGAGCAAGAAATCGGTGCATGAAACATTGTTGCCGATGAAGGGACAAATGAAATTTCTCAGTCAGAAGTTTTTAAAGAGATAATCTAACAATATTTTATATGGAAATCGTAACAGCTGCATTAGAAAAACTCTTTCATTTTTTTTTTTTATCAGGGAAAACCAGATTGCCCACTGAAAATGTGCTCAATGCTTAATGCACTGAATTAATAAATAAATAGGCAATGTACCTTTGCAGTTATCTTAAACCATCAATGATTGAAAATGTATATTATATATAATCTATGAACTTTTAAAATACCTTAACATGCCGTGAAACCAGATTTATAACTGACCTCTAGAGGAGAGTCTGGTTCATCCAGGATGCTCTTTTCACTCTGTATCCGCTGCATCGTTCCTGTAGAACTGGGGTCCATTATCAGCACGTTCTGACTACCAGCTCTGCCGAACTTACAGTCACTCTTTCTGGAGTCAGTCGTCCTGCACACCTCGTAATTGTACACATGTGGCAGAGTCCCTGTCCCCAAAGTGTCTGAGTAACGTGGTGGATAATATGGAATGACAGGCAGGTTGGAGTGATACAGGATGCGAGACTGTCTCCACCTGTAGATTTTGACTGATATAATAACCACTAAACACGTGATGAAGAGGAAGGAAACTACAGCCAGAGCCAAGACTAAGTAAAAAGTCAGGTTGTCATTGTACTCCTTGTCGTGGGTCAACTCAGTGAACTCCGACAGCACTTCAGGGAAGCTGTCCGCCACCGCCACGTTAACAACGACTGTAGCTGAACGAGAGGGCTGCCCGTTGTCCTCCACTATAACAGTCAGTCTTTGTTTGACAGCATCTTTATCAGTGACTTGGCGGATAGTTCTGATTTCTCCATTCTGTAAGCCCACTTCAAACAGCGCCCTGTCTGTGGCTTTCTGCAGTTTATAGGAGAGCCAGGCATTCTGTCCAGAGTCCACATCAACAGCCACCACTTTAGTCACCAGATAGCCCACATCTGCTGAACGAGGCACCATTTCAGCCACCAGAGAGCCACCAGTCTGGACTGGGTACAGAACCTGAGGGGGGTTGTCGTTCTGGTCTTGGATCATTATTTTCACAGTCACGTTGCTGCTGAGTGGAGGAGAGCCTCCATCCTGCGCTTTTACGCGGAAGTGGAAATCTTTGATCTGCTCGTAGTCAAAAGAGCGCACTGCATGGATGACTCCACTATCAGCACTAACGGACACATACGAGGAGACTGGCACTCCGTTAACGGAGGAGTCCTCCAGTATGTAAGAAACACGGGCATTCTGGTTCCAGTCAGCGTCTGTGGCTTTGACTGTGAATATAGAGAGACCTGGTGTGTTGTTTTCTACAATGTAGGCCTCATATGAGCTCCTCTCAAAGACAGGTGCGTTATCATTAACGTCTGAGATCTGTAAGGTGAGAGTGACGCTGCTGGAGAGGGAGGGCACTCCCTCATCAGAGCAGGTCACAGTGATGTTATACTCAGAGGCTCTCTCTCTGTCTAAATCACTGTCTGTTATAAATTATAGAAATTATTTCTAGATTTTTTTAGCATGAATGCTATGTTTTCGCTTACTGAACAATAAACTTTTCCGTTTTCTCCCGAGTCCTTATCTTCGATATTTATCATCATAACGACTGTATTGAGTTTAGCATCCTCTGAAATCACGGTCGCCTTCGTCATTATGCTAATTTCAGGTTTGTTGTCATTGACATCGAACACATCAACAATAACCCTAGAGGAGTCTGTTAGTCCTCCAACATCACTAGCAAGTAAATTTATTTGAAAATTTCGTGACTCCTCAAAGTCAATATTCCCAATTAAAGTCACTTCGCCATTCTCTTGGTTTATCTTAAAGACATCCCTGATATTATCTAAAGTATTTGTGATTGAATATGTTATTTTACTGTTAGAGCCTTGATCTGCGTCTGACGCTGTAACAGTAGCAACAACTGTTCCTTTAGGTGAATTCTCAGTGACTGTAGCTTTGTATGTTTGCTGTGTAAAAACCGGCGCATTATCATTAACGTCTAAAACTGTAATGAGAATCTGCATTGTTCCTGACATCTGTGGCTCTCCTCCATCTACAGCTGTTAACACGAGGGATATCTGCTCTTGTTTCTCTCTGTCCAAAGGTTTCTGCAGTACCATCTCAACATTTTTATTCCATCAGCATTATTATGCATTTTAGAACAAAATTGTCAGTTGGTTTTATTTCGTACCTTTGAAGATCATTGGTGCCAACATCAACATCCACAGCCCTTTTCAGAACAAATTTTGCCCCAGTTACCGCAGACTCACTAATTTTAAACTCCATCTCTGTTTTCTCAAAGGTTGGTGCATTATCATTGATATCTGTGATCTGCACTGTAACCGTATAAAATTCCATCGGATTCTCCAAAATGATCTGAAAATGTAGAGCACACGGTGTCGTCCGTTTGCACAGCGCCTCTCTGTCGATCCTTTCTTTAACGAGGAGGACTCCTCTTTCTCTGTTCAGCTCGACGTACTGGTCGCTGTCTCGGGTATAAATCCGAGCTTTACCTGATATTAAACGTTTGATTTGTAAACCCAAATCCTGTGCTATATTACCAACTAACGATCCTTTAGTCATTTCCTCCGGTATTGTATAGCTGACTTGTCCAGTTACCGAGCCAAAGGAAAGGAGAGCAAAAAACAACAGCGCAGGCCCTTTCATTGTTCTATCCTAGTATTTTATCAACGAGGCTCCACAACGCGAAAATATATCCAGCTGAGTGAAAGGAGTTCAATTCCTGGTAGACACAAAAATCTTTTAGCGGTATATTCCTCCCAGAACAACGGAAAATTAAAAAAATAAATGTCGTCTTTGTCATCAGATATTCTGCGCATCTAGATATCCGCTCTTTCTCGTCGTACCCCGTGCTCGTTATGTGGTCGTTTATGTGAGATACGCTGCTGTTGCAACCCTACTGTCAGCCATCAACACTCTGGTCAACAGCGGCCCTAAGAGTTCAAAAAACAAAACTGCAGAACACTACTGTCAGGCAATCCTTAATAGAAGACTTGTAATCACAGATGTTTATCACGGGAAACGTAAATTTAAAAAAAAAACAACCCACAAACAAACAACAAAAGATTTCTTCAACACTGTTGATTCCTCACTTCAATATAAATTAGCTCCAAATGTAGTGTGAATGGTAAATGTACTGGTTTCTACAAAACGCTTAAAAAACACCTGTTTTAACACTCAAACCCCTTGTCCAGCATGTTTCATTCACACATTTATTCATTTTTTTCTTGCGCTAAGACATTTCTAACAGTCACACTCCAATGAACGCATCGGGAGAAGCTCAGGGTTCAATATCTTGTCCAAAGGTAATTTTCACTCAGACCGGAGAAGCTACTGATCCAACACCACACGTCCCATTGATACATGAGTTCCTCTATCTCGTGAGCTAAAGCCAAACCAACTAACAGTGTTTTCTTTCTTAAAATTATCAGTCATGAAAATGATTCCGTGAAAGCATACTCAAAGTATTAAATAAGGAAATTTTGTGAAGATAAAATCCCACAGGAATAATAAAAAGATATGTAAAATACAAGAACAGTACAAATAAGTTCAATAGTGTCGCTGTCTGCGGTCCTGAAATCACTATCCAAGACGATCAAGATGAGTGGGGGCACCACTGTTTTACATTAAGGAAAACAAAACAAAACAAAAAAAAATGAAGGAAAAAAAAGAATAAATAAAACGCTATGCCCTTTCTGGACAGTATAACTAAATTATAACATTGTCAGTGCTGAGTATTTAGTCAAATGTCTTTAGCAAAATCTTATGAAAGAGTGAAATAAATGATTGAAAATTCTGGTACCGATAAGAAAAGAGGTCACTAAATAATTTTAACTAAAGTTTAATTACATCATATTTTTAGAGGAAAATTTAAGGACTAAGTAGAAATTGATTCACCGTTTCATATAACAATATGTAATATAGAAACAATTTAAAATAATTAGCATTAAAACCTTTTGCACGAAAGCTTAGAGAAGACTTAGCGTACAATTTCACAACGGTAAAGTAATTCCCCTTTATAGTTCTATAGGTCATCAGTGACTAAAAATGTAAATTATATATAAGATCGATGGTTTGGTAAAATAGCAGGATGATTTCAACAGTATAGTCGGATACTGAATCATTTAAAAAGACATTGTGACATAAAGTTGAAGCCACATTCATAACTGACCTCTAGAGGAGAGTCTGGTTCATCCAGGATGCTCTTTTCACTCTGTATCCGCTGCATCGTTCCTGTAGAACTGGGGTCCATTATCAGCACGTTCTGACTACCAGCTCTGCCGAACTTACAGTCACTCTTTCTGGAGTCAGTCGTCCTGCACACCTCGTAATTGTACACATGTGGCAGAGTCCCTGTCCCCAAAGTGTCTGAGTAACGTGGTGGATAATATGGAATGACAGGCAGGTTGGAGTGATACAGGATGCGAGACTGTCTCCACCTGTAGATTTTGACTGATATAATAACCACTAAACACGTGATGAAGAGGAAGGAAACTACAGCCAGAGCCAAGACTAAGTAAAAAGTCAGGTTGTCATTGTACTCCTTGTCGTGTGTCAACTCAGTGAACTCCGACAGCACTTCAGGGAAGCTGTCCGCCACCGCCACGTTAACAACGACTGTAGCTGAACGAGAGGGCTGCCCGTTGTCCTCCACTATAACAGTCAGTCTTTGTTTGACAGCATCTTTATCAGTGACTTGGCGGATAGTTCTGATTTCTCCATTCTGTAAGCCCACTTCAAACAGCGCCCTGTCTGTGGCTTTCTGCAGTTTATAGGAGAGCCAGGCATTCTGTCCAGAGTCCACATCAACAGCCACCACTTTAGTCACCAGATAGCCCACATCTGCTGAACGAGGCACCATTTCAGCCACCAGAGAGCCACCAGTCTGGACTGGGTACAGAACCTGAGGGGGGTTGTCGTTCTGGTCTTGGATCATTATTTTCACAGTCACGTTGCTGCTGAGTGGAGGAGAGCCTCCATCCTGCGCTTTTACGCGGAAGTGGAAATCTTTGATCTGCTCGTAGTCAAAAGAGCGCACTGCATGGATGACTCCACTATCAGCACTAACGGACACATACGAGGAGACTGGCACTCCGTTAACGGAGGAGTCCTCCAGTATGTAAGAAACACGGGCATTCTGGTTCCAGTCAGCGTCTGTGGCTTTGACTGTGAATATAGAGAGACCTGGTGTGTTGTTTTCTACAATGTAGGCCTCATATGAGCTCCTCTCAAAGACAGGTGCGTTATCATTAACGTCTGAGATCTGTAAGGTGAGAGTGACGCTGCTGGAGAGGGAGGGCACTCCCTCATCAGAGCAGGTCACAGTGATGTTATACTCAGAGGCTCTCTCTCTGTCTAAATCACTGTCTGTTACTAAGGTATAGAAATTATTTGTGATGATTTTATAATAAATGGTATTTTCTTGTAAACATTTCACGACCCCACTGTCTCCGGAATCTAAGTCCTCAACATTTATCATTGTTACTACTGTGTTGAGATTGGCATCCTCTGATATCACAGTTGATTTGGACATTATGTTGATTTCAGGTTTATTGTCGTTTACATCGAGAACATCAACAATCAGCTTACATGAGTCTGTTAGTCCTCCATCGTCATTAGCACGGAGATTTATTTGAAAACGTTTTGACTTTTCAAAGTCAATGGTTTCAATTAATGAAACTTGCCCGTTTTCCTCATTTACATAAAACATTTTCCGGACATTGTCTAACGTATTTGTGATTGAATATGTTATTTTACTGTTAGAGCCTTGATCAGCGTCTGACGCTGTAACAGTAGCAACGACTGTTCCTTTAGGTGAATTCTCAGTGACTGTAGCTTTGTATGTTTTCTGTGTAAAAACCGGCGCATTATCATTAACGTCTAAAACTGTAATGAGAATCTGCATTGTTCCAGACATCTGTGGCTCCCCTCCATCTACAGCTGTTAACACGAGACTGATCTGCTCTTGTTTCTCTCTGTCTAAAGGTTTCAACAGTACCATCTCAACGTTTTTGTGTCCATCAGGGTTACTGTGCAGTTTTAGACCAAAATTGTCAGTTGGTTTTAGTTCGTATTTCTGGAGATCATTAATACCAACATCCAGATCCACAGCCCGTTCCAGGTCGAATTTTGCTCCTGTTGCGGCTGACTCGCTAATTTTGAAATGCATTTCGTGTTTTTCAAAGGTTGGTGCATTATCATTGATGTCTATGATCTGGACTGTAACCGTATAAAATTCCATCGGATTCTCCAAAAGGATCTGAAAATCCAAAGCACAAAGCGCTTTCTCTGTGCACAGCGCCTCTCTGTCTATTCTCTCCTTGATGAGGAGGACTCCTCTTTCTCTATTCAGCTCGATGTATTGGTCGCTATTTCTGCTATAGATCTTGGCTTTTCCTGATATTAAACGTTTAATTTCTAAACCTAAATCCTGTGCTATACTTCCAACTAAAGAGCCTCTAGTCATTTCCTCCGGAATCGAGTAACTGACCTGCCCGAAGACTGGGCCGAGGGAAAGGAAAGAGACAAACAGCAGTACCTGCCGTTTCATTGTTCTGTCAGATTTCTCACTCAACGTGGATTCACAACCTATATTCCACACAACAGAAGATATGTATTCAAAAGTCAAAACCTAAGTGTATATTCCGGTCAGCGAAAGCAAATCGCTCCAAAATAAAAATCTTTCTTCAGTATTTATCCTCCTTGATCAGAATCGCTCGATCTTTGTGCGTCGTGTTCCCTCTTCATAATGTCGATGTTACATGGGCGGTGCTGCTACAAACATGGTCTCAGTCCTCAACACTCTGGTCAACAGCGGCCCTAAGAGTCCGCACTATAAAACTGCAGAATATCATCTAAAATTCATCCGCAGGACAACTTACTGTCAAATATGTGCAAATTCAGTAATATCAGCCTACAGAATCTTTAACACTGTCATTTGGACTTGAAAAAAGAACAATCGAGAATCTATTGTGTTTAATTTCTAGGATCACAATAACAGTATATTAAGAAAAACAGGCAGTGACTGTGATGTTAAGATATCAATGGCGTAAGAGAGTTAGCCCGGATAAAACAAGTCAGCTGACCGGCCGAAAGGGAAAATGCATCGGGAAAACACAAGTTTACTTAAAGATGGATAACTGGTAAACCTTGGCGCTTGAATTGTGGAAACAGCACAAAATGGACACGAGGTAACATGAATTAATATTGCTAATGCTGCTGTCCGTGGTTCTGAAGTGAATGCGGTTAACATTTGAGGTATATTAACATTGATTAGATGCCATTAAGATTCTGTTTAGAAAAAAAATATTCCTCAAGCATATTAACATTGTTTTTGTTTTGCGCGTGTGTAAAATTGATGTACTAGTTATTCATTGTTGAGCTACGTTATGATAGCGCCTGTGTTTGGCTCTGCCGCTGCCGGGTGCAGTTTGTTGCGCTCTACTACTTTTGTGTTATTTTCTTCTACTCTACTGTTCTCACTTAGTTTTAACGATGTATTGGCTGCCTTGGTGTATGCTAGCCTGGCTTTGCTATCCATCCGATCCTCACGATCTCTCTTCGTCCTCCTTCTGCATTTTCCACCCTAAATATGAAACGAAAAAAATTCCAAATCTTAATAAATAACAGTTTGTTTAAGTGGAAATATATAAGCCACTGGAAATACAAATTTGAGATCATATGGACGATAACGTTATTTTAATTGTATTATATATGAATCTATAACTTAAGCAATCTGATATTTGTATGATGATGTAGAAAACATTTAAGACTAACCTCAAGAGGAGAGTCTGGTTCATCCAGGATGCTCTTTTCACTCTGTATCCGCTGCATCGTTCCTGTAGAACTGGGGTCCATTATCAGCACGTTCTGACTACCAGCTCTGCCGAACTTACAGTCACTCTTTCTGGAGTCAGTCGTCCTGCACACCTCGTAATTGTACACATGTGGCAGAGTCCCTGTCCCCAAAGTGTCTGAGTAACGTGGTGGATAATATGGAATGACAGGCAGGTTGGAGTGATACAGGATGCGAGACTGTCTCCACCTGTAGATTTTGACTGATATAATAACCACTAAACACGTGATGAAGAGGAAGGAAACTACAGCCAGAGCCAAGACTAAGTAAAAAGTCAGGTTGTCATTGTACTCCTTGTCGTGGGTCAACTCAGTGAACTCCGACAGCACTTCAGGGAAGCTGTCCGCCACCGCCACGTTAACAATGACTGTAGCTGAACGAGAGGGCTGCCCGTTGTCCTCCACTATAACAGTCAGTCTTTGTTTGACAGCATCTTTATCAGTGACTTGGCGGATAGTTCTGATTTCTCCATTCTGTAAGCCCACTTCAAACAGCGCCCTGTCTGTGGCTTTCTGCAGTTTATAGGAGAGCCAGGCATTCTGTCCAGAGTCCACATCAACAGCCACCACTTTAGTCACCAGATAGCCCACATCTGCTGAACGAGGCACCATTTCAGCCACCAGAGAGCCACCAGTCTGGACTGGGTACAGAACCTGAGGGGGGTTGTCGTTCTGGTCCTGGATCATTATTTTCACAGTCACGTTGCTGCTGAGTGGAGGAGAGCCTCCATCCTGCGCTTTTACGCGGAAGTGGAAATCTTTGATCTGCTCGTAGTCAAAAGAGCGCACTGCATGGATGACTCCACTATCAGCACTAACGGACACATATGAGGAGACTGGCACTCCGTTAACGGAGGAGTCCTCCAGTATGTAAGAAACACGGGCATTCTGGTTCCAGTCAGCGTCTGTGGCTTTGACTGTGAATATAGAGAGACCTGGTGTGTTGTTTTCTACAATGTAGGCCTCATATGAGCTCCTCTCAAAGACAGGTGCGTTATCATTAACGTCTGAGATCTGTAAGGTGAGAGTGACGCTGCTGGAGAGGGAGGGCACTCCCTCATCAGAGCAGGTCACAGTGATGTTATACTCAGAGGCTCTCTCTCTGTCTAAATCACTGTCTGTTACTAAGGTATAGAAGTGATTTGTTGATGATTTCAAAATGAAAGGTACACTATCACTAACTGAACATTGAACATTCCCTCTTTCTCCAGTGTCCCTGTCTTCAACGTTTATCATTGTAACAACTGTATTGAGTTTAGCATCCTCCGAAATCACAGTCGACTTAGACATTATGTTGATTTCAGGTTTGTTGTCATTTAAATCCAGAACATCAACAATCAGTTTACAGGAATCTGTTAGTCCTCCAACATCACTAGCACGTAAACTTAACTGAAAACCTCGTGAATCCTCGAAGTCAGTATTCCCAATTAAAGTCACTTCGCCGTTCTCCTTGTTTATGTTAAAGACTTTCCTGACGTCATCCACTTTGTTTGTGATTGAATATGTTATTTTACTGTTCGAACCTTGGTCTGCGTCTGACGCTGTAACAGTAGCAACAACTGTTCCTTTAGGTGAATTCTCAGTGACTGTAGCTTTGTATGTTTGCTGTGTAAAAACCGGCGCATTATCATTAACGTCTAAAACTGTAATGAGAATCTGCATTGTTCCTGACATCTGTGGCTCTCCTCCATCTACAGCTGTTAACACGAGGGATATCTGCTCTTGTTTCTCTCTGTCCAAAGGTTTCTGCAGTACCATCTCAACATTTTTATTGCCATCAGCATTATTATGCATTTTAAGAACGAAATTGTCAGTTGGTTTTATTTCGTACCTTTGAAGATCATTGGTGCCAACATCAAGATCCACAGCCCTTTCCAGAACAAATTTTGCACCAATTACCGCCGACTCACTAATTTTAAATTCAATATCAGCTTCTTCAAAGGTTGGTGCATTATCATTGATATCTGTGATCTGCACTGTAACCGTATAAAATTCCATCGGATTCTCCAAAATGATCTGAAAATGTAGAGCACACGGTGTCGTCCGTTTGCACAGCGCCTCTCTGTCGATCCTTTCTTTAACGAGGAGGACTCCTCTTTCTCTGTTCAGCTCGACGTACTGGTCGCTGTCTCGGGTATAAATTCGAGCTTTACCTGATATTAAACGTTTGATTTGTAAACCCAAATCCTGTGCTATATTACCAACTAACGATCCTTTAGTCATTTCCTCCGGTATTGTATAGCTGACTTGTCCAGTTACCGAGCCAAAGGAAAGGAGAGCAAAACACAACAGCGCAGGCCCTTTCATTGTCCTACCCTAGGATTTTATCAACGATGCTCCACAACGCGAACATGCATCCAGCTGAGTGAAAGGAGTTCCAAAGTCAGACGTCAGTCTTGTAGCTTTACAGTCCTCTGTACATCGAATAGTCTTAAATCGTCGTATTTTTAATCTGAAATTCTGCGGATCGAGAATGCCTGGTCGTTCTCGTAATACCCCGTCCTCGTTATGCGGGCGTATATGGGAGGTACTCAGCTGCTATAACCCTGCTCCCATCCGTCAAAACTCTGGTCAACAGCGGCCCTAAGAGTTCATAACAGAAAACTGCACAACAGCTCCCTAAATTACACTGTTCAAAAGACTTGCTGTTAGCTAAGTGTAACAAGTAAGATTTTAAGTAAATAATACAAGAAATTGAAGCGAGAGAGCGAGAGAGTGAGGGAGAGAGAGAGAAAGAGAAAGACAGAGACAGAGACAGAGAGAGCTGGAGAGAAACAACACAATCCACGTTGTAATCGTCGATTGCACACTACAACACAGTTTACGGTTCAAATGTATTTCTATTTTGTTCTTTTTTTTCTCCTTTATAATCAAAAAATCAGTCAAAGCACCCTGTCAATTACTGCAAGAAGTACATTTTCACAAAAAACTACAACAAGAATAAACGTACGTTAAAATGTATAAGTACCTCACTAAAAATATAATTGGGCATGGGAAGGACAAAAGAAAGTTTAATAATATCGCTGTTCTTGGTGCTGAAATGATGACGTGCCAATCGATGGGAATGATTTATAAAATGATTTACCGTGCATTCGTGAGGAGATAATGAATGTGCAAAATCAGGCAAAACTAATTCTGTTCTTTGGGGAAATCGTACTATCTATTAAGACATTGAAGTGATTGCTTAAAAAAAGTGAGGTGATGATTCAGCCTGTTGTCACGGAAGAGCAAGAAATCGGTGCATGAAACATTGTTGCCGATGAAGGGACAAATGAAATTTCTCAGTCAGAAGTTTTTAAAGAGATAATCTAACAATATTTTATATGGAAATCGTAACAGCTGCATTAGAAAAACTCTTTCATTTTTTTTTTTTATCAGGGAAAACCAGATTGCCCACTGAAAATGTGCTCAATGCTTAATGCACTGAATTAATAAATAAATAGGCAATGTACCTTTGCAGTTATCTTAAACCATCAATGATTGAAAATGTATATTATATATAATCTATGAACTTTTAAAATACCTTAACATGCCGTGAAACCAGATTTATAACTGACCTCTAGAGGAGAGTCTGGTTCATCCAGGATGCTCTTTTCACTCTGTATCCGCTGCATCGTTCCTGTAGAACTGGGGTCCATTATCAGCACGTTCTGACTACCAGCTCTGCCGAACTTACAGTCACTCTTTCTGGAGTCAGTCGTCCTGCACACCTCGTAATTGTACACATGTGGCAGAGTCCCTGTCCCAAAGTGTCTGAGTAACGTGGTGGATAATATGGAATGACAGGCAGGTTGGAGTGATACAGGATGCGAGACTGTCTCCACCTGTAGATTTTGACTGATATAATAACCACTAAACACGTGATGAAGAGGAAGGAAACTACAGCCAGAGCCAAGACTAAGTAAAAAGTCAGGTTGTCATTGTACTCCTTGTCGTGGGTCAACTCAGTGAACTCCGACAGCACTTCAGGGAAGCTGTCCGCCACCGCCACGTTAACAACGACTGTAGCTGAACGAGAGGGCTGCCCGTTGTCCTCCACTATAACAGTCAGTCTTTGTTTGACAGCATCTTTATCAGTGACTTGGCGGATAGTTCTGATTTCTCCATTCTGTAAGCCCACTTCAAACAGCGCCCTGTCTGTGGCTTTCTGCAGTTTATAGGAGAGCCAGGCATTCTGTCCAGAGTCCACATCAACAGCCACCACTTTAGTCACCAGATAGCCCACATCTGCTGAACGAGGACACCATTTCAGCCACCAGAGAGCCACCAGTCTGGACTGGGTACAGAACCTGAGGGGGGTTGTCGTTCTGGTCTGGATCATTATTTTCACAGTCACGTTGCTGCTGAGTGGAGGAGAGCCTCCATCCTGCGCTTTTACGCGGAAGTGGAAATCTTTGATCTGCTCGTAGTCAAAAGAGCGCACTGCATGGATGACTCCACTATCAGCACTAACGGACACATATCGAGGAGACTGGCACTCCGTTAACGGAGGAGTCCTCCAGTATGTAAGAAACACGGGCATTCTGGTTCCAGTCAGCGTCTGTGGCTTTGACTGTGAATATAGAGAGACCTGGTGTGTTGTTTTCTACAATGTAGGCCTCATATGAGCTCCTCTCAAAGACAGGTGCGTTATCATTAACGTCTGAGATCTGTAAGGTGAGAGTGACGCTGCTGGAGAGGGAGGGCACTCCCTCATCAGAGCAGGTCACAGTGATGTTATACTCAGAGGCTCTCTCTCTGTCTAAATCACTGTCTGTTATAAGTATAGAAATTATTTGACAGATGCTCTTAATTAGAAAGTACTGTTTTGCTACTCATACAAAAGCACTTTTCCGTTTTCTCCCGAGTCCTTTCTTCATATTTATCATCATAACGACTGTATTGAGTTTAGCATCCTCTGAAATCACGGTCGCCTTCGTCATTATGCTAATTTCAGGTTTGTTGTCATTGACATCGAACACATCAACAATAACCCTAGAGGAGTCTGTTAGTCCTCCAACATCACTAGCAAGTAAATTTATTTGAAAATTTCGTGACTCCTCAAAGTCAATATTCCCAATTAAAGTCACTTCGCCATTCTCTTGGTTTATCTTAAAGACATCCCTGATATTATCTAAAGTATTTGTGATTGAATATGTTATTTTACTGTTAAGCCTTGATCTGCGTCTGACGCTGTAACAGTAGCAACAACTGTTCCTTTAGGTGAATTCTCAGTGACTGTAGCTTTGTATGTTTGCTGTGTAAAAACCGGCGCATTATCATTAACGTCTAAAACTGTAATGAGAATCTGCATTGTTCCTGACATCTGTGGCTCTCCTCCATCTATCAGCTGTTAACACGAGGGATATCTGCTCTTGCTTTCTCTCTGTCCAAAGGTTTCTGCAGTACCATCTCAACATTTTTATTTCCATCAGCATTATTATGCATTTTAGAACGAAAATTGTCAGTTGGTTTTATTTCGTACCTTTGAAGATCATTGGTGCCAACATCAACATCCACAGCCCTTTTCAGAACAAATTTTGCCCCAGTTACCGCAGACTCACTAATTTTAAACTCCATCTCTGTTTTCTCAAAGGTTGGTGCATTATCATTGATATCTGTGATCTGCACTGTAACCGTATAAAATTCCATCGGATTCTCCAAAATGATCTGAAAATGTAGAGCACACGGTGTCGTCCGTTTGCACAGCGCCTCTCTGTCGATCCTTTCTTTAACGAGGAGGACTCCTCTTTCTCTGTTCAGCTCGACGTACTGGTCGCTGTCTCGGGTATAAATCCGAGCTTTACCTGATATTAAACGTTTGATTTGTAAACCCAAATCCTGTGCTATATTACCAACTAACGATCCTTTAGTCATTTCCTCCGGTATTGTATAGCTGACTTGTCCAGTTACCGAGCCAAAGGAAAGGAGAGCAAAAACAACAGCGCAGGCCCTTTCATTGTTCTATCCTAGTATTTTATCAACGATGCTCCACAACGCGAAAATATTCCAATAGTAGGAGTTCATCCTGTAGCTTACACAAAAATCTTTTAGCGCGTATATTCCTCCAGAACAACGGAAAATTAAAAAAATAAATGTCGTCTTTGTCATCAGATATTCTGCGCATCTAGATATCCGCTCTTTCTCGTCGTACCCCGTGCTCGTTATGTGGTCGTTTATGTGAGATACGCTGCTGTTGCAACCCTACTGTCAGCCATCAACACTCTGGTCAACAGCGGCCCTAAGAGTTCAAAAAACAAAACTGCAGAACACTACTGTCAGGCAATCCTTAATAGAAGACTTGTAATCACAGATGTTTATCACGGGAAACGTAAATTTAAAAAAAAAACAACCCACAAACAAACAACAAAAGATTTCTTCAACACTGTTGATTCCTCACTTCAATATAAATTAGCTCCAAATGTAGTGTGAATGGTAAATGTACTGGTTTCTACAAAACGCTTAAAAAACACCTGTTTTAACACTCAAACCCCTTGTCCAGCATGTTTCATTCACACATTTATTCATTTTTTTCTTGCGCTAAGACATTTCTAACAGTCACACTCCAATGAACGCATCGGGAGAAGCTCAGGGTTCAATATCTTGTCCAAAGGTAATTTTCACTCAGACCGGAGAAGCTACTGATCCAACACCACACGTCCCATTGATACATGAGTTCCTCTATCTCGTGAGCTAAAGCCAAACCAACTAACAGTGTTTTCTTTCTTAAAATTATCAGTCATGAAAATGATTCCGTGAAAGCATACTCAAAGTATTAAATAAGGAAATTTTGTGAAGATAAAATCCCACAGGAATAATAAAAAGATATGTAAAATACAAGAACAGTACAAATAAGTTCAATAGTGTCGCTGTCTGCGGTCCTGAAATCACTATCCAAGACGATCAAGATGAGTGGGGGCACCACTGTTTTACATTAAGGAAAACAAAACAAAACAAAAAAAAATGAAGGAAAAAAAAGAATAAATAAAACGCTATGCCCTTTCTGGACAGTATAACTAAATTATAACATTGTCAGTGCTGAGTATTTAGTCAAATGTCTTTAGCAAAATCTTATGAAAGAGTGAAATAAATGATTGAAAATTCTGGTACCGATAAGAAAAGAGGTCACTAAATAATTTTAACTAAAGTTTAATTACATCATATTTTTAGAGGAAAATTTAAGGACTAAGTAGAAATTGATTCACCGTTTCATATAACAATATGTAATATAGAAACAATTTAAAATAATTAGCATTAAAACCTTTTGCACGAAAGCTTAGAGAAGACTTAGCGTACAATTTCACAACGGTAAAGTAATTCCCCTTTATAGTTCTAATAGGTCATCAGTGACTAAAAATGTAAATTATATATAAGATCGATGGTTTGGTAAAATAGCAGGATGATTTCAACAGTATAGTCGGATACTGAATGCTATTTAAAAACATTTGTACATAACATCCGTGAAACCAGATTCATAACTGACCTCAGAGGAGAGTCTGGTTCATCCAGGATGCTCTTTTCACTCTGTATCCGCTGCATCGTTCCTGTAGAACTGGGGTCCATTATCAGCACGTTCTGACTACCAGCTCTGCCGAACTTACAGTCACTCTTTCTGGAGTCAGTCGTCCTGCACACCTCGTAATTGTACACATGTGGCAGAGTCCCTGTCCCCAAAGTGTCTGAGTAACGTGGTGGATAATATGGAATGACAGGCAGGTTGGAGTGATACAGGATGCGAGACTGTCTCCACCTGTAGATTTTGACTGATATAATAACCACTAAACACGTGATGAAGAGGAAGGAAACTACAGCCAGAGCCAAGACTAAGTAAAAAGTCAGGTTGTCATTGTACTCCTTGTCGTGTGTCAACTCAGTGAACTCCGACAGCACTTCAGGGAAGCTGTCCGCCACCGCCACGTTAACAAGACTGTAGCTGAACGAGAGGGCTGCCCGTTGTCCTCCACTATAACAGTCAGTCTTTGTTTGACAGCATCTTTATCAGTGACTTGGCGGATAGTTCTGATTTCTCCATTCTGTAAGCCCACTTCAAACAGCGCCCTGTCTGTGGCTTTCTGCAGTTTATAGGAGAGCCAGGCATTCTGTCCAGAGTCCACATCAACAGCCACCACTTTAGTCACCAGATAGCCCACATCTGCTGAACGAGGCACCATTTCAGCCACCAGAGAGCCACCAGTCTGGACTGGGTACAGAACCTGAGGGGGGTTGTCGTTCTGGTCTTGGATCATTATTTTCACAGTCACGTTGCTGCTGAGTGGAGGAGAGCCTCCATCCTGCGCTTTTACGCGGAAGTGGAAATCTTTGATCTGCTCGTAGTCAAAAGAGCGCACTGCATGGATGACTCCACTATCAGCACTAACGGACACATAGGAGACTGAGGAGACTGGCACTCCGTTAACGGAGGAGTCCTCCAGTATGTAAGAAACACGGGCATTCTGGTTCCAGTCAGCGTCTGTGGCTTTGACTGTGAATATAGAGAGACCTGGTGTGTTGTTTTCTACAATGTAGGCCTCATATGAGCTCCTCTCAAAGACAGGTGCGTTATCATTAACGTCTGAGATCTGTAAGGTGAGAGTGACGCTGCTGGAGAGGGAGGGCACTCCCTCATCAGAGCAGGTCACAGTGATGTTATACTCAGAGGCTCTCTCTCTGTCTAAATCACTGTCTGTTACTAAGGTATAGAAATTATTTGTGATGATTTTATAATAAATGGTCATTTTCTTGATAAACATTTCACGACCCCACTGTCTCCGGAATCTAAGTCCTCAACATTTATCATTGTTACTACTGTGTTGAGATTGCATCCTCTGATATCACAGTTGATTTGGACATTATGTTGATTTCAGGTTTATTGTCGTTTACATCCAGAATATCAACAATCAGTTTACAAGAATCCGTGAGTCCCCCCTCATCACTTGCTCCTATATTTATTTGGAAGCGTTTTGTTTTTTCAAAATCAATGGTTCCAACCAATGAAACTTGCCCGTTTTCTGTGTTTACTTCAAACATTTTCTTTACGTTACCTAACGTATTTGTGATTGAATATGTTATTTTACTGTTAGAACCTTGATCTGCGTCTGACGCTGTAACAGTAGCAACAACTGTTCCTTTAGGTGAATTCTCAGTGACTGTAGCTTTGTATGTTTGCTGTGTAAAAACCGGCGCATTATCATTAACGTCTAAAACTGTAATGAGAATCTGCATTGTTCCTGACATCTGTGGCTCTCCTCCATCTACAGCTGTTAACACGAGGGATATCTGCTCTTGTTTCTCTCTGTCTAAAGGTTTCTGCAGTACCATCTCAACGTTTTTCTGTCCATCGGGGTTACTGTGCAGTCTCAGAGCAAAATTGTTGGTCGACTTTAAATCATAGTTTTGAACCGCATTAATACCAACATCAAGATCCACAGCCCGTTCCAAAACAAATTTTGAGCCGGCAGTTGCAGACTCGCTAATTTTGAAATTCATTTCGCTTTTTTCAAAGGTTGGTGCATTATCATTGATGTCTGTGATCTGGACTGTAACCGTATAAAATTCCATCGGATTCTCCAAAAGGATCTGAAAATGTAAAGCACAAAGCACTGTCTCTGTGCACAGCGCCTCTCTGTCTATTCTCTCCTTGATGAGGAGGACTCCTCTTTCTCTATTCAGCTCGATGTATTGGTCGCTATTTCTGCTATAGATCTTGGCTTTTCCTGATATTAAACGTTTAATTTCTAAACCTAAATCCTGTGCTATACTTCCAACTAAAGAGCCTCTAGTCATTTCCTCCGGAATCGAGTAACTGACCTGCCCGAAGACTGGGCCGAGGGAAAGGAGAGAGACAAATAGCAGTACCTGCCGTTTCATTGTTCTTTCAGATTTCTCACTCAACGTGGATTCACAACTATATTCCACACAACAGAAGATATGTATTCCAAAGTCAAAACCTAAGTGTATATTCCGGTCAGCGAAAGCAAATCTCTCCAAAATAAAAATCTTTCTTCAGTATTTATCCTCCTTGATCAGAATCGCTCGATCTTTGTGCGTCGTGTTCCCTCTTTATAATGTCGATGTTACATGGGCGGTGCTGCTACAAACATGGTCTCAGTCCTCAACACTCTGGTCAACAGCGGCCCTAAGAGTCCGCACTATAAAACTGCAGAATATCATCTAAAATTCATCCGCAGGACAACTTACTGTCAAATGTGTGCAAATTCAGTAATATCAGCCTACAGAATCTTTAACACTGTCATTTGGACTTGAAAAAAGAACAATCGAGAATCTATTGTGTTTAATTTCTAGGATCACAATAACAGTATATTAAGAAAAACAGGCAGTGACTGTGATGTTAAGATCAGTGGTGTAAGAGAGTTAGCCCGGATAAAACAAGTCAGCTGACCGACCGAAAGGGAAAATGCATCGGGAAAACACAAGTTTACTTAAAGATGGATAACTGGTAAACCTTGGCGCTTGAATTGTGGAAACAGCACAAAATGGACACGAGGTAACATGAATTAATATTGCTAATGCTGCTGTCCGTGGTTCTGAAGTGAATGCGGTTAACATTTGAGGTATATTAATATTGATTAGATGCCATTAAGATTCTGTTTAGAAAAAAAATATTCCTCAAGGATATTAACATTGTTTTTGTTTTGCGCGTGTGTAAAATTGATGTACTAGTTATTCATTGTTGAGCTACGTTATGATAGCGCCTGTGTTTGGCTCTGCCGCTGCCGGGTGCAGTTTGTTTCGCTCTACTACTTTTGTGTTATTTTCTTCTACTCTACTGTTCTCACTTAGTTTTAACGATGTATTGGCTGCCTTGGTGTATGCTAGCCTGGCTTTGCTATCCATCCGATCCTCACGATCTCTCTTCGTCCTCCTTCTGCATTTTCCACCCTGCACTATTAGCTGGATCTCTCAGCTATTTCGGCGGTCCCTCTAGACCACGGAAAGGAGAGGGAGAAGAGGAGGTATTCAGGTAAAGCTCAGGCTTACCTGGCGTCGGGGTTTGGCTGGTAAGCGACGTGGAGACGTGCCTTGTCTCCTGTGCTCAGAAAAGCTCCATGGAGGGGGACTTGTTTTCCACGTCCCTGTTTGGATATGCTGGCCCGGCTCTTTGACGTGCTGCCTTCAGGAGGGTTTATCCAGACTCTCTGCGGCTGGCTCTTTATTCCCTCGGAGTGGATTCTACGAGCGTGATGGCTCAAACCCTGTGTACCTTACGTCCTTCAACTTGAGCCTCTGCAAATAGACGAGGCTCTACCTCACTGAATATGGCCTTTTAACGCTCGATCTCTTCTAACAAATCATTATTGTTGAATGATTTTATATTATCAAAAAACTCGACTTTTTCCCCTATTCCTGACTGAGACCTGGCAGCTGGGAGTAGACTAGCGTCATTTGTTGAACTCTGCCCGGATGGCTATACTTTTATATACCCAGCCTCGGGTTGCTGGCCGGGGTGGTGGGCTTGCGGCGGGCTTTCCAGACCGTTTCTCCTGCCGCTCCGTGAAAATTGGACATTTTCTTTCGTTTGAGATGCAGCTGCTTAAAATTGGAAACAAGGATCCCTTTCTACCTGTGCTGTGGTATATCGTCCACCTGGCATCATAATGCAGGCTTTATTTTTATCAGGGCTCAGTGACTTCTTATCCGCTACTATAGCTGTCTAGGGTGCTTATAGTTGGGGACTTTAATATACACGTTGATGATGACTCCGACCCCTATTGCCAGAGACTTATAACATTATGGATTCTTTTCATTTTGCTCAGCATGTGTCCGGTCCTACACATAGCAAAGGTCACACACTGGACCTTGTTCTTACTTTGGGTTTGCTCTGAGGACATTTCTATTTCTGATCACCATGTTATTGTTTTTAACATGTCTTTTAATCCCTGTTCAACGGATGGTTAGCTCTCGCATCTTAAACTCCTCCACAGCGGAGAAATTTGTGGATGCGCTTAACTTACAGTCTATCCCCTCATAAATGGTGTGATTTCTCAACCATCTTTTTTTAATAATTATTGCCTTTCTATTTTAGATGAAATTTGTCCAGTTAAGAGAGGAGATGTTTCTGCCTCCAAATCTCCTCCTTGGCTAAATGCAGTATTCCTTGTCTAAAATGTGATTGTCGTAAAGCGGAGCGCAGGTGGAGGAAAACTCATCTAAATGTTCATCTCCTCTACTAAAGGACCTTTTAGCTTCTTTTAATAATGCGATCG